AAAATGAAACATGATTTTTTGGAGTTTCCCAAAAGAATTTTTTCTATTTAAGGGTTTTTGTGACTTTATAAAATTTTAATTAAAATATTTTATTATTAATTTAATAGAAGTGACTAATGTTAGGATTAAATTTAATAATTAAAAAAAATTAAAACCATTTTTTAGTAAAAATAAAAAATTAAAATAATATTAATATTTATAACAAAAATTAAGAACTAAATTAGGTGTTTACCCTCCCTTTTACTGTCTCAAAAATAAATTGAAAGAGGAGAGTATTATTTTTGTGTTGTTTTTTTCTTGATTAATCTTTCGGTATTTGGAAATCACTCTAAATTTTAATTAATCTAAAATCGAGTCGCGTCGGACTTCATTAAAAGGGAAATTCTTTTAGCACCTATTTTTTTATTCACAAGAGTCAAATTCAAAATTTTATTTAAAAAAAATTAAATTCTTTTTATTTAAATCAATATATCATTGGTATTTTTGTACTGTTTTTATAGCTCTATTATTACCCATTGCAAACTATTTTGCTAAATTTTTAATCATTATATTATTTGGTCGGTTTCCCATTATTCCCTCCTTGCCCAAGCAAAAAGTTCCTAATTATGGACATGGGTCTTATTACATCAAGCACCTGGTCCCGCAGATATGATATGATAGTACTGTGATTCCAATTGCTTTTGGCATTTAAAAATTTGTGCCTTTCTTTATTTATTTTATTTAGAGTTTCTTTAATTTATATTTTAATAATACATATTAAAAGATTTAAAAAATATTATTTAATTTATTAATTATTTAATTAAATTTATCTATTAATAATAACATTAAAATTAATATATATTTTTATTTTTTTTATATAAATTTATAAAAAATATTTTCAATATATTTTTTTAAAAATATGAATTAAAAAAATCTTTTTATTTAGTACTAGACATAAGTTTTTTTTTTTTTTAATCATCAACCAGACAAGTGGTTGAATATGTACAAGAAAGGAGATTCATAAATTGGAATTCTCATCCCTTTTATATTTAAATATTTAATCAATTGATCCAAAAGCCTTTGTCATCAAAAGTTTTTTCGTATTTGGATTTCACCATTTTTAGGAATAGAATAGAGGTGCAACAAGTATTTTTTCTTAAAAAAAAACTAAATTAGTACTACTAATTGTAATGAAAATTAAATTTTTATAAACATATATTTATTGTTAATTAAAATTTTATATATACTTTTATTAATGAGGGTAAAATTTTAAAAAACTTTAATATTATATTAAAAGTTAAAATTAAAATTAATAATTAATAATTAATAATTAAATTAAATTATCTCTTCCTTTAAAATGTGTTACACGTAAAACGTACGGGAAATAATAAAATTTTTCTTTAAAAAGAAAAAGAAAAAAAACCACTAACGGTGCTCAAAAATGCGAAAGGAACAGATTTAACGCGTAAACAAACGACACCGCCTGGCGCGGCTTAACAGTCAAAACTCCTCAGCTCAAAGCCACTCACACTGTTTACTACAATAGACCCATAGGCTTCTCTTTTAGCTGACGCGTGTCCAATACGACGCGCTTTCTCCCCCTATTTATGCCTCCCTTTGCCTCCCCCCATTTCCCTTCTTCTTCACTCTTCGACCCCTCACTTTCCTTCTCCGATCAACGTTCTGGTCTCATTCTTCGGCTAAGACATACATGGCGTTGTCGGAGAATCTTGCTAGTGTTGAACCATGGATATTCAGAGCACCGTTTACTGATTCTTGGATCTCTGAATCTTTTGCTCGTGACAATGAAACCTTAACCAAAGCGCTCGAGAAATCTCTCTGCAGCGCTGCCGGTTCGGACTCGGTTGTTTCATTTTCTGACTTAGTCATGACTGGTACTGGTACGCCAACCACGCCGACTGCTTCCAACGTTTCCGGCTCGGACCTGGAGTCGCCAGCGCCGAAGCGGCAGAGAAACGGTATTCCTGTTTCGGGCGGGAAGGTGTCGAAGCGGAAGTCGCGTGCGTCGAAGCGGTCGCAGACCACGTTCATCACGGCGGATCCCGCGAATTTCAGGCAGATGGTGCAGCAGGTGACGGGGGTGAGGTTCGGGAACGCGCAGCTGCCGGTGGCGCAAGTTCTGAAGCCGGAGCCGCAGAGGGCTGGAAGTCAGTTGACCGGCGCCGCCACGGGTGGATTCTTGCCAACGCTTGACACGTCGGCGTTTCTGTTGGACCACCACCAACAGAACGTTCCGATGGGCCCTTCTGTGTCTGGGGTGGGCTTTGGGCCAGGCCCACTTGGGTTTCAGTCTTCTGTGGCGTCTAATACCGGTAGTGCCGCGCTGGATTTTGAGACTTATGCGAGCTTTCCCACTCTAGATTCCTGGAAATAATGTGATATTTTTTGCGTTTTTTTTCTTCCCCCCCTCTTTTTTGTTCTTAATTTTCCTAGTATTTCTGTATTTTGTAGTGGAGGGTTATGGTGTTGTTAATAGTTGGGTTTACTTTTTTTTTTTTTAATGGTATTTATTTTTTTTAAAATTCTACTCTTTATTACAATTGGCCTAAAAATTTCTTTTCAATTTGGTAATATAAAATGTCAATCTCATCAAATCACAAGGAACCATCTAGAGGGATTGTTTGATCAATTCCATGAATCAGAACGGTTTGGATAATAATAAACATGGACTCCATTGTAACATAAACAAAATGGAAATTCTGAGGGTAAAATTAGCTAAAGCGTGTCTACTTGGGAAGGACCTCCTTGTGAGCTTTGAATGAGAGAATTACATTCCAAATCAAAGCAATAAAATTGGCAGCTAGGACCTGAAATTGAAACATGGATGAAATATGTTGGAACATATGCTATGAAAATGTGGAGTTATATCAAGAATGGAGTTAAGACCGTCTATTGTAACAATTGAAATGGTTTTGGAGGAAAGGAGATTGGGTATTCAAACCTGGAATTGCTGAGGGACGTAACGGAAGTTGAGAAACTGGAAGGGGATCCAAAGCTGCCAGTTTGCGAGAACAGCTGAAAACCATTCCTGTAAAGCAAATGTAATGTTAGCGATTTGTTTTCCTTCTTAAAAATTCACCTGTATGTAAATTGCAGCACCTGTTCAAGTTTGGGCATGACTTGTTCTGGTTTCCCCTCTAGAGTCATCAACGTGGATAGGAAAACTCCAATGAATATAGGACTGAAGATGAACTGCAATGTATTGTTGCATGACAAGAAAAGAAATGCTTTTAATATGGAGAATGTTTGGCAATTTAATTTGATAGAATAAGGAGTTGCTTAAGATCACCTGATCCAGCACAAGGCGCAGAAAAGCACCTGATGCTCCAGGCAACGTTACCAATTTACTGAGGTACAAATACCTAAAATGAACAAGGATCCACATATGAGAAAGGAAAAAACAATATCAGACAAGCAGAAGGAAATTCTTTACAGATTTAAAGTTATCTTGGTTCCATACATAGAACTTATATATAGAACTCTTCAACTCCAGACAACCTTAACATTGGTTGCCCAATATCAGACAATCACAGAGTCGTATCTAAAAGACTGTAACAACTTAGTGAAGCAGGAAACAATAATTGGCCAAGAATTAACAAGATGACTACATCTGAAACAAAAAAGAAGAGGAACTAATACAATCATGAGACCATAAATTCAGCTAGAAACAAAAACCAAAATTGGTAAAAAATTCGAGTAGCATGTGGAAAAAACTTTATATAAACATATATAGGTATCATAAGCATTTAGTGCTTGGAATATGAAGCATTTACCAGAAATGCAATGTTGGTCCAACCAGTACCATTCCCAGAAGAGTAAACAAGAACGTCCTTTTGACATCTAGTGATGGCACTTGATCAATGGCAAGCTGAAGTCAATATTTTAACATTTAGTAACATCATGGAGTACTACCCTTTTACCACCTAAAATGTGTGGTTATTTATGAATTTGAACTTAAAACCTGTATTTTCCAACATGTACAACTGGAATTGCTAGTCAACAAGTAGAATTTCTAGTCATTTTAAATATCATGCTTCCCTGATATACCGCAATTAATGATTCAGAAATTACTATTTAATATGAAAAGAACTTGTCACTTAAATTCAAAAAAGGATTTGAATACAGCCAAATATGCTTTTATCTCAAAAGTCATGATAAAAACAAGAACACCATGTTAGTTCAGGAAAATGAAATAATCATGCTTATTGTCAAATGTCAATTAACTTAGAAACCGTGGATAACACATCAAAGAAACACCAAACTCTACCTATTGACATATTTATCTTTGGGTGGGAGTAGGTGACCCTGCCTAAGTAAGTAAAAGAAACTAGATTCAGTTTACCTTTTTGAGATATGTCCTTCACTTTCCCTTCCAAAACTTGCTAGGATATGAATAAGTGGCATTAATGATGTTCAAGGATTTGGAGGCTGCGATCAAAATTAAAGTAATCTTCTAAGGGCTCAGCTCTAAAGAAGAGCTCAAGGGTGTTCAGTTCATTAACTTCTAATGTCTGTTAAAATATTTTTAGTGAGGCAATAAAGTTAGGTAGCAGAGAATAGTGTCAGCAACCTCAAAAGGTGTCAAGGAGGCATGCATCATATTGTTTTTCCTCCATTAACCAAGGCAACATACATCTTGTATTCCCATCTGTCTCTATTTCCAACTAAGCACGTCAAAAGACCAAAAATATGCTAGCAGAAGAGAAGTTCATTTATATACGCAAAATCAAAACATGTACCTTGATCCACCTACTCAAATTTGATAAAAAAAATAGGGTGGAAAGGATATATATAGAAGTTAATAAAGAAACACAGCAAAGTCTTCATGGATGGCAACTCTAGTACTTTACCTGGCAAATCAGATCCCCAATCAAAGTCAAAAGTGCAGACGTTATGGCTTTCGTCAGTACAGGATACTTTGCTAGAAGATCCAGATACCTGTAACAACACGAAATTCCCGATGGAATGGCAGGAATAAGATAACCTTATTCCAGACGGGATATGTGACAAACCAAACAAATTCAACTCAACAAGCGGTCTCTCTCCCTAGTTATCTTTTATGCCAAACCCACATTAAGATATCATTTTACAGATAGTTGGAAGTAAAAAGTCCTAACTCAAAATGCAGTTAGGTAACAATCAAACAATTAAACTACAGAAGAGAGTTTTAGCCTCCGTGATGCCTGTAATGGCATAACTATTGTATACTAAAAAATAAAAAAGTTTTCTTTTTGAGGATTAATTCCATTATAGCAGCCGTTGTAGAGAAAAAAAATTGACCAAAGATGAATAATTCAAAAGCAAAATAAAATTTATACACCACAATTCATTACCATGAAAGAAAGGACCATCTTCTTCCACCGCTGCCATCAGCACCTTCGCTTCCATCCCCAGAATTCCCACCACCAGAGCCTCTAAACCCACCAGTTCCCCCCGACCCACCACCCGATACTGCAGAAACGCGGAAAGAATCCAAACCCAATTGCTCCCGTCCCATTTTGAAAGCACCCACATCATTAAATCGAGCTCCATGACTAGAATTCAGAGAATATGAATTAGAACAACCCGAAGAAAAGCCCTCAAATCTTCTTATCTGAATTGGTTTGGTAAAGAGCCGAGCATGGGAACCAGAGTATGACGAAACAGGTCTCCGAGCATAATCCACTAAACGGTACAACAAAGCGGATTTCCGAGTGAGAGCTGCAGGATTCGGAGTCATGTTTCTTTTGCTGAGAACTGAATGGGGTTCTTGCTTCTGGCTCTGGGACTGGGACTGGGAGTCAAAGTGTGGGTTTTCTTTCTGGGTTTTAGGTGGCGGGTGATGAACAAAGCCCTCGCGCTCAACTCGTTATGCAGGCAATGTCCCATTGTAGACCCTCAAACTTTTGGATGAAAAGCATTAAGCACTTTAATTTTTTAGGCAAATGAGTTCGCTTTGTGAGAAAATTCTAATGTCACAAATACATGTATGAATGATTCAATCGGTTAATCAAAAATTCGGCACACAAATAAAAATTGTTCAATAGGTGCAATTGATAGGTATTTTGCATTTTAAATATTAATAATGACTTATCAAATTATCATTCACTAATTATATATTTGATGTGATATCTTAATAAATATATATAATGCATCTTATTATCTTAAAAAAGAGTTAAATAAATCACAAGGTTTTTTTTTTCTTTTCTTAATAAGAAATGGTAGATGGTTCAAGACCCCATTGGGGGAAGGGGTGGGGAGAGGAAGGAGATTCAAACCCTCACCTTATTGAAAAGCACTTTCTTATCATATGCACTTTAGCTAATTGGTATGGATAGCCTCTTCTATAAATCTCATGTTATTAATATAAAAGACACATGTCTACCTTATCTACTAAGCACAATATTATTTACTCATAAGGACAATCTTTAATAAAAAAAATATAAAAACAATAATTTAGAAGAAGTTTTTAAAGAATATAAGTCCTATTTGTATTTTTGTGTGAAAAGCTCATCTATGTAGGCTGCAGCCATACGAGACAAAATTTAGCGGGCACGTGAAGCATGTAATCTTCTACGGTTAATTTTAAATTTTTTTTCTTTTGTACCGTTCTAAACTATAAAGGGCTTATTTGTTACAAAAAACAGATGAGAGACTTAACTGGCTTTTATCTGAAAGTTTGAGAGTTAGACTTGAGTTTTGCCAACAATAATGTAGTAGCGTTATAAATCAATGCAAGTCAAAATAACGCTAGTTTTGAAACCTACGCATCAGAAACCCAGGCCCATATACAAAAGAACCTAGAAACCCAGGCCCGCACACTAGAGAACCTAAAAATAAAATGGTAAGTGGGTGTCTTGTGCGAGGCCCATAAAGAGTGGTTGCTGGGCCTGACCCTAGCCTTCTCTACATTCCTTTTCCTAACGTCGGCTGGAGCAAGGGGGAGCAGGTAGGTAGAGTCGACTATACATCCAGCATCGCCGCCCCTCCAGGTCCATGGTACCAACTCTCTCTAAAGAAATTCATTTTTCTTCTGGTAGAAAAAAATTGTGTTAAAAAATGTAGTTTTCATGATGCTCTCCTTCGATTATGATGTTTGCTTTCCGCCGTGGTGTTGTTTATCGTGTTCTTTAGCAATTGCTTTCTTCCATTTATTTCCAACTGCAAGTGGGTTGAGAATTTTGACATGAACTTGTTTCTTTGTAAGCGTGTTTTAAGTTGTTTTCGATATTTATTTGATAATTATTGGAGTTTATGAACTTTGAAATTATGGGTTTGAAACAAGGCAGTTTGTTGATCTGATCATACGCTGGGTTAGTCTAATTTCTATATAATTTTAGAGGGTTGAGGGTTCTATACTCATTTCTATAAGGAATTTAAAACTGGGTTTTGAACTAGTCTCCATGAGAAGTATTGGAAGAGTGTCAAATCGTAATAAACAGGCTTGTTGAGACTTGAAAAAGTTTGTAGATGAATCAATGTTGTGTTGAACTGGAAGACCATATGGAAGCTGCAACTTAATGCTTTATTGAAGTTTGTGTGAATGGTGTAGCTACAGCGTTTCCCTTTAAATTCTTTCAAGGGTTTCAATTCGAGAGAGTATTATATGTGACTTGTATGTCTTTCTTTGTTTTTGTGGGTTAGGAGAAACTTAGTAAGATGGTTGTGATCTCTTAATGCTTCTTCTATTGCTTATATTCTAAAACAGAATTATAGCTGTGAAAGACTAAAGGCTTGATAAATGGGTGGAAATGGATTCTGCTTGCTAATACTCGGCTAGATAGAGATAGAATGGTTTTGATAGTGAAGAATAATCTATTATCCACACTATCTGATCAAGTATTTCAGTTTGGGAGATGTGCAGACTGTGGTTATTCAGTTTATCTTTCCAATGTGATTATTTGATATAACCTCTATAATCTGTTTATAGATTTTGAGTAATAGCTGCAGTTTCTTTTATTATTTTTCTTTCTCTGTTTGTTGTATTCATACCATGTGACAGACTGATGGTATAATCTGTGGCCCCTTGAACCTTTTTTTCTGCTTTTCTGATAATATTGTTTTTCTTGGACTGGATCCATGTCAATGAATCTATAATGACCAATGTTATGTCCTGATGCGTGGTACAAAACAAGTTAATGCTAATTTCTCTATACATTTAAGTGGTATCAGTATGTTGTAACTAATTCCCAATAAAAATTGTTTAAATTGGTAGGTCCTGTGAACACAAGCTGCCACAACATTGTAGAAGAAAATTACTGCCTCTAAGTGCATATTTTTCCAACCTTAATTCTGCACCGGATTGTTTTCTTGTTAGGATATGGTTAAAATTTTAGCATATATCTGCTTAGTGACCATCATTTCTGAAGCAGGAATGAGATATGATTAAACTGTTGGCTTCTAGTGGGGTGGAGGTTCTTTCTTGACTATCATGCAGTGTTCAAGTGCACTAATTCCTCTTGATTTGATGTTTTTTTCCCCAGTGCTGAGTGATGGCAAAAGGTCGAATATGGGCAACAGCAGAAGATTTAGCAAGGAATAGGGGTCGAGTCCTCTCTCTTTACCGACAACTATTGCGAAGCCTCAACTCTCCTAAGTTGCCACTCAATTTAGCAGCAAGACTGGCTAAGAAGGCTGAAGTCCGCACTATTTTCATGGTGGCTTCTGAAGAAAGATCCCTGCACAATATTGAGGACCTCATTGACACTGCTGAATACTCTCTTTCCCTTTTGAAAGAAGGCAAGATCCCCAAACATATCCAATAATTGTTTGGTAACTCTTCACTGGCTCTGTTCACTGGCTCTGTTCAATATATTTTTATGCTCAACCAGTCTTCTGTATGGATTGGAGATGGAGATTGGCCTTCTGCATTTTGCCCTAATGGTGGATGACTTTAGTGAAAGAAAAACTCTTCTTTTGTAAAAATATTTTTGTAGCCTCAAACCTTCAATTTGTTACTTTTATAGTCCCTCAATTTAACAGGGGCGTAAACTGTAGGTCTAGATGTTTCCGCCACAATTTTAAGGGTGCTGCTATATTAAGTAACGAAAAACTTAGTTGAGTTGGTATTTGCTAACGGTAAAATTTTGATTTGGTATAAATGTTACATTTGCATTGCCAAGCCCCTAATTTCTAATGTGCCAAAAAGATCTTAGTGTAATATTTTCAGCTGAATTTGAGCTTATATATAACTGATTGCAAGTAAATTAAAAAAACAAAAAAGGAAAAAGAAGTGAACCCTATTTTAATGAAGGCAATTTCTGCCATTCTATAAGTCACTTGAAAATGTATAAATTTCATTCTCCATTTTTCTGATTGGAAAATATTTGGTCCAAGATCATTTTCACTTTTCAATGCCAAACTCATTTTCTTTGAAATGTTCCATTCTCACATGATAAGACAAGAAAATGGACATGTTCTTTCCTATCAAAATTATGATTAATTGAAGTGTTAAATTGAAATTTTAATGTAGAATTTATGTTATGTCATTTAAATTACATAATTTAAGTATTAAATAAGAGCAAATCTCCTTATGTTAGGGACAATTCTCCATCTAACTTGATTTCTATATTAAAATTCAGACATGAGATAATAAAACAAGATTCTCATTATCAAAATTTAAGTGTAACAATGGAAAATACTAGTTACACTGAAGTTCTGAACCGAGTCAGTTATTGAGGATTTTGGACCGGTTCTGATCCGATCCTATTTGCTTAAACCAGCTTGGATTGAATTAGTAGTTTTCCAAGGGCGTCGTCGTCTTCTTTTATTCATCCCCTACGTTCTTCCTCGGCTAGAACTGAAAAATGAAAAAACGACGAAATGACGCCATTCCATGAATCCTCATCATCCAACTTCTGATTTCCAGAAAACCCTAGCTCTCTGCGTAACTGAAAATCTTCTTCGAACAAACTGATCAAGGAAAGGAAAATCTAGACTCTGAAGTGAGCACGGAATTTTTCTCCCAGTAGGCGACATTTCAGATCTGATGAAGCCTCTCTAGATCTGGAATCGTTCCGCATCTTTCATGGTAACTTCCACTCTTTTTCCAGCTGTTGTAGATTGTGTGGTGGTTTTTCATGTTGTTTCTTCGACATTTTATTCTTATTTAGAGAGTGTAGAGTGATTGAAGTTGTTTTGTAGTTAAATTTGATTTCATCCTACTCGATTGTTGATCCTGCAAACATTTTTTAATTCAAATTTGAACAATTTTGCTTTGGAAATATGAAATGTATATAGCTGAGATCTTTCTACTGTAATGGTGTGTCTTTTGATATGAATTTTCTAGGGTTTTAAAAATGCTAAATGGGGTTAATTGATCGCAATGTATAGGTTAGAAGTTCTGAATAATAAGCTTAATAAACCATGAGACTATCCTCAGTTGAGGATCGAGGAGTTGTCACTCTTAGTGGTGGTGGAAACCGGGATGCTGAATTGCTCTTTCGTACAAAGCCAATATCTGAAATCAGAAATGTTGAATCCACCACCAACAAACAGATTCAGGACAAGAAGGAGGAGCTCCGGCAACTGGTGGGCACGCGCTACAGAGATCTCATTGATTCTGCAGACTCTATTCTGCAAATGAAATCAGCGTGTGAGTCCATCTCCTCCAACATTGAGTCCATCCACCAACACATCTGCTCCCTATCTGCCTCCCCTATATCTGAAGTTCCAAAGTTCCAAA